GGGAATCGCTTCCTTTTAGGTGGTTGTAGAATTTAACGGCTCTTTTCTGGATTTTGATCATTAGCGGGTATCGGCCTAATTCTGCTCTGCATGCATTATTTGGTGTTTTACGTTGTACACAGAGGATATTTTTGCAGAATTCTGCATGCACAGTCTCAATTTGGTGTTTGTCCCATTTTGTGAATTGTTGGTTGGTGAGCGGACCCCAGACCTCACAACCATAAAGGGCAACGGTTTCTATAACTGATTCAAATATTTTTTGCCAGATCCTAATTGGTATGTCGAATTGAGTGTTCCTTTTGATGCCTTGTCTCTCAGATCGTTTACAGCTTTGTGGAAGTTACCTGTGGCGCTGATGTTTAGGCCGAGGTATGTATAGTTTTTTGTGCTCTAGGGCAACGGTGTCTAGATGGAATTTGTATTTGTGGTCCTGGCAACTGGACCTTTTTTGGAACACCATTATTTTTGTCTTACTGAGATTTACTGTCAGGGCCCAGGTCTGACAGAATCTGTGCAGATGATCTGGTTGCTGCTGTAGGCCCTCCTTGGTTGGTGACAGAAGCACCATATCATCAGCAAACAGTAGACATTTGACTTCAGATTCTAGTAGGGTGAAGCCGGGTGCTGCAGACTGTTCTAGTGCCCTCGCCAATTCGTTGATATGTATGTTGAAGAGGGTGGGGCTTAAGCTGCAACCCTGTCTCACCCCACGGCCCTGTGGAAAGAAATGTGTGTGCTTTTTGCCAATTTTAACTGCACACTTGTTGTTTGTGTACATGGAATGTATAATGTTATATGTTTTCCCCCAACACCACTTCCATCAATTTGTATAGCAGACTCTCTCTCTCTCGCTCTCTCTGTGTGTCTCTCTCTGTCACACACTGTCTCTCTCTCTCTCTCTTTTACTCTCTCTCTCTCTCTCTCTCCTCTCTCTCTCTCTCTCTCTCTCTCTGTCTCTCTCTCTATCTCTATCTCTCTCTCTCTATCTCTCTCTCTCTCTCTCACTCTCTCTCTTACACGCTTTCTCTCTCACACACACACTCTCTCTCTCTCTCTCTCTCTCTCTCACTCTCTCTCTCTATCTCTCTCTCTCTCTCACTCTCTCTCTTACACTCTTTCTCTCTCACACACACACACACACACACTCTCTCTCTCTCTCTCTCTCTCTCTCTCTCTCTCTCTCACACACCCGTCAGGATGGATTGCAGGAGGAAGTGGAGGCCTATATATCAGCGATGTCGTGTCATGTTGTCAGCTCTACGCAATCTGGGACATCAGGTGCTGTTTCCTGTTCCTGAGGGGTAAGTCCCCATGCTGATACGTGTCCCAAATGGCACCCCCATTCCCTATAGAGTATACTACTGCTGACCAGGGCCTATAGGTATCTGGTCAAAAGTAGTGCACTATATAGGGAGGAGAGTGTCATTTGGGACACACTTTGAGATGTGTAACCTCCCGAGTGGCGCAGTGGTCTAAGGCACTGCATCGCAGTGCTAGCTGTGCCACTAGAGATCCTGGTTCGAATCCAGGCTCTGCTGTAGCCGGCCGCAACCGGGAGACCCATGGGGCTGCGCACAATTGGCCCAGCATCGTCCAGGGTAGGGGAGGGAATGGCCGGCAGGGAGGTAGCTCAGTTGGTAGAGGATAGCGTTTGCAACGCCAGGGTTGTGGGTTAGATTCCCATGGGGTATGAAATTTTAAAAAAAAAATGTATGCACTAACTGTAAGTCGCTCTGGATAAGAGCGTCTGCTAAATGACGTAAATGTAAAATGTGTCTGGCACTTCACTTTGACAGGCTGGTGACAGACAGACAGACATAGAGACAGACAGACAGACAGACATACAGGCAGACACAGACAGACAGACATACATACATAGAGACAGACAGACATAGAGACAGACAGACAGACAGACATACAGACAGACAGACAGACAGACAGACAGACAGACAGACAGACAGACAGACAGACAGACAGACAGACAGACAGACAGACATAGAGACATAGAGACAGACAGACAGACAGACAGACAGACAGACAGACAGACAGACAGACAGACAGACAGACAGTTTCTATGTGGTTGTAAGGGTAGGATGGGGGATGCGTCCTGCAGGGGTGTGTACGTGCTTGCGTGTGTGCGAATGTCCATGTGTCCTGCAGTGGTGTGTGCAGCCTACTTAATGGCCACAGGCAGCCCAAGAATGTATTGTCAACAGGAACTCCTGGATCTGGCATCCTCTCCACTCTGCCACAGAGCTGACCACAGACCAGTGAAGGAAACTGATTTGTCACACACACGCACGCACACACGCACGCACGCACTGAGAAGCTTGGCTGTTTTAACCACTGGCTAGTTCACTAGTTGAGAGGATAATGGGGTTGAGTTTTGAGATTCTACTTTTCTTGATTGATACACTTTTTATATGGATTAGGCTTACTATAACTTGTAGTGCCTCTCTATGGGGTCTAGGCTATGTCCCAAATGGCACCCTATTCCCTATATGGTATACTACTGCTGACCAGGGCCCTTAGGTATCTGGCCAAAAGTAGTGCACTAAATAGGGAATCGGGTGCGATTTGAGATGTAACCCAAGAGAAAGTTTTCAAACCAAGGCATGTGTTGACAGACCTTATTGATATAGCCTGCCGCCAGAGTAAATGCTGATATAATATTCTACTTTTCAGGTGAGGTAGGCTATCCTTAGTAACACTTCAGGTGAGGTAGGCTATCCTTAGTAACACTTCAGGTGAGGTGGTATCCTTAGTAACACTTCAGTGAGGTAGGCTATCCTTAGTAACACTTCAGGTGAGGTAGGCTATCCTTAGTACACTTCAGTGAGGTAGGCTATCCTTAGTAACACTTCGGGAGGTAGGCTATCCTAGTACACTTCAGGTGAGGTAGGCTATCCTTAGTAACACTTCAGGTGAGGTAGGCCCTTAGTAACACTTCAGGTGAGGTAGGCTATCTTAAACACTTCAGGTGAGGTAGGCATCTTAGTAACACTTCAGGTGAGGTAGCTATCCTTAGTAACACTTCAGTAGGTAGGCTATCTTAGAACACTTCAGGTGAAGTAGGCTATCCTTAGTAACACTTCAGTGTGAAGTAGGCTTCCTAGTAACACTTCAGGTGAGGTAGGCTATCCTTAGTAACACTTCAGGTGAGGTAGGCTATCCTTAGTAACACTTCAGGTGAGGTAGGCTATCCTTAGTAACACTTCAGGTGAGGTAGGCTATCCTTAGTAACACTTCAGGTGAGGTAGGCTATCCTTAGTAACACTTCAGGTGAGGTAGGCTATCCTTAGTAACACTTCAGGTGAGGTAGCTATCCTTAGTAACACTTCAGGTGAGGTAGGCTATCCTTATTAACACTTCAGGTGAGGTAGGCTATCCTTAGTAACACTTCAGGTGAAGGTAGGCTATCCTTAGAAACACTTCAGGTGAGGTAGGCTATCCTTAGTAACACTTCAGGTGAGGTAGGCTATCCTTAGTAACACTTCAGGTGAGGTAGGCTATCCTTAGTAACACTTCAGGTGAGGTAGGCTATCCTTAGTAACACTTCAGGTGAGGTAGGCTATCCTTAGTAACACTTCAGGTGAGGTAGGCTATCCTTAGTAACACTTCAGGTGAGGTAGGCTATCCTTAGTAACACTTCAGGTGAGGTAGGCTATCCTTAGTAACACTTCAGGTGAGGTAGGCTATCCTTAGTAACACTTCAGGTGAGGTAGGCTATCCTTAGTAACACTTCAGGTGAAGGTAGGCTATCCTTAGTAACACTTCAGGTGAGGTAGGCTATCCTTAGTAACACTTCAGGTGAGGTAGTCTATCCTTAGTAACACTTCAGGTGAGGTAGGCTATCCTTAGTAACACTTCAGGTGAAGGTAGGCTATCCTTAGTAACACTTCAGGTGAGGTAGGCTATCCTTAGTAACACTTCAGGTGAGGTAGGCTATCCTTAGAAACACTTCAGGTGAGGTAGGCTATCCTTAGTAACACTTCAGGTGAGGTAGGCTATCCTTAGTAACACTTCAGGTGAGGTAGGCTATCCTTAGTAACACTTCAGGTGAGGTAGGCTATCCTTAGTAACACTTCAGGTGAGGTAGGCTATCCTTAGTAACACTTCAGGTGAAGGTAGGCTATCCTTAGTAACACGATTTAGAAATGGACAGACTTGGTCTACTACTTAATTAGAAGTCATGGAAGTGTAAACAAATGGAAAGGTTGTCCCCATCATTATGCATCAAGCGTCTATTGGCATGTAAGCTTTTATATGTGTCTTATCAACAGATAACTTACAATAAAATAAAATAAACATCACTGTCAACACATAACATACAATTAAATAATAATAGGCCTAATTTATTTGATAAAATAATGAAAACATTGAAAGCAGTGTCATGCCATTGGGGAAACTAAAGGTATATTCTATTCTCTATAAAATGCCAGCTAAGAACCAATTGGGCCTATATCTTCTTTTATTACTATCGTTACCCCAGTTACAGTAAAAGCTGTTTCTGTTTTGGTGTATGACATGATTTAGTAGTAAATGATGCTGAAATGTCCCTCTCCCTGTTTTGTTTCCTTGCAGGTCTCAAGTTGCAATCAAGGAGGAGCTGAGAGTCCCCCCGGGGGCTAGTGTTGTAACCTGCTCCTCAAATATAAAGAGCTGTTTGCCTTCCAAACGCAAGGAAACACTGAATTACAACGTCATAGGAGAACAGCGACCAGACGCACGGTTCATCTCAATAACCGACAGAGGCAACCAGTGTAGCCTAGACTACATCTCAACCAATTTAGTCAGTTGAAGAGTCAAACCATTTCTCTGTTCTAACAAACTTCTCTATGTACTCATAGAACGTATTTGTCACGGCACATTTCACTGTTATAGTAAATTGAGATAGAGAGAAAAAAGTTTTCACTGCGCTGCGGGAGCGTGAGAGAGAGAGAGAGAGGCGCAACCGAACTTTGGCTGAGAGTGAGGAGAGCGGAGAGAGCGCGTAGAGCATGGCTGCCCTTATCAGCGTGTACTCGTCGTGGCCGGAGAGCTTTGAGTGCTCAACGGGAGATGGGGACGTGCCTGACGGACACGGCTCGCACAGGACTCCCGCGGACAAAGCATCGGAGCCGCGCATCAGACGGCCCATGAATGCGTTCATGGTCTGGGCTAAAGATGAGAGGAAGCGCCTGGCCCTCCAGAATCCGGACCTGCACAACGCAGAGCTCAGCAAGATGCTGGGTGAGATTAACGTTTATTTTTTACGGACATAGTTAATATTTTATAATTACATATTTAGGATATTGTTATTATTATTATTATTATTTAAAAAATATATATATATTCTTCTTCTTCTTCTTCTTCTTCTTCTTCTCCTTCTTCTTCTTCTCCTTCTTATTTATTTTTATTATTACGCTATAGGCCTACGCATGCTCTGGCAAAAGTTATCCTATGTCAAATCAGAGCTATTCATAGCCTAAACCTTTTCGAAGTTAATTGAGATATCAAATCATAACATTTGTTTCTGTTTTGGTATATAAAAGTATATAAAGAAAATACAATATATAAAAACATAGTTTCTTAGTGTTGTTTATTTTATTATTTTTTTGGGGGGGGGGGGTCTGATCATAAACATTAAATGTGTGCGCCTTTCACCTTTGAGCATCGTCCATATCTCCTAAAATAAAAACAAAAATAACTCCTCCCCTGGACCAAAACTTCAAGTGGCAGTTAGTTCATGAGTGGATGTCGCTAAATTCGATTAAAATGCAATCAATTCAATTGCACGTTCTTTACCAGTAGTGGTAGTTTATCAGGAGGCCTGTGGGTCACTTGGATTAGTGCATAAATCTCAGCGTGCATCCTGGCGCTCGCTCGCTCGCACGTCGTCATGTTATGTTATATTTTAATATTATTATTTCATACAATTATTTTCACCCATTAGACATAAAAAAGGGCAAACTATATTAGGAAGTTAAATGTAAATATATATGTGCTAATTTGTTTAAATTTAGAAAGCATAGACCTGTCCATTCCCTATATTGAACTGACGGGCGATAACCTTTTAAGGCTCAGAATTAAGACTTACATTTGACATATTTGTTGCTTTTTCGTTAAGATTAGGTTGCCTTTCGGTGTAACTGGTATACCAATAATTAATTATTTCGTTTAAATGATTGCGATTCATATTATTAAATTACTATGCATATTACGTTGCTCTTTAATAAATGGTATCCCGTATTTGCAGTGTGATATAAGCATCTAATAAATTCATCCAGTCAACACGGGAGAGAGAGAGATATCATAGTTTATTCTTAATTTACATATATACACCTCAGGAGGGGGAAATTGACAATGTTTGCCGTAAATATATGCTATTGTTTTTCCATTCTCAGAACGAAGATTAAGCGTTCAGTAAAGCCATCTTGTGGGAATTGGGTCTTATAAAAGTGATGGCATTGCAACCTTTGGTTGTTTTAATCCTCACTAGATATTCATTCATTTTCTCGATGATATTGGGAGTTGCTTTTCATTTGAATGCAATAGATAGGTAATCATGTTCAACACAACACTGTGTCACATTTTAATGTCGTGGACTATTGCTTTATATATCCTTTAAAAACTAATATTCCACTGAACATAAAACAAGAAAATGAGTGTATATTATTGATAATCTGTTACCTAAAAAGGTAGAAACTCCAGCACGCAGCTGATCATGGATGTTTTAAAGACATAATACAATGACTTAAAAAAAAAAAATGTTTCATTTTAACAACATTATAAGTGTTTATTATGGATGGAAAAACAGATATTATGTTTCTTTGTATCCCACACCAATGTTTCAGTCCACTTTTTAAAATCCTTGTTTCTATTGAACATGCCATACAAATAAAGGCATTTGAATTAATTATATGAAGAGTGCCTTGGTCCTCCTTTTCTTTTCGATGACCAGTTCACCCCTTTGACCAAAGAGCACCGTCTGTCTACCAACAATTACTATTGTGTACCTTAGTTAGCGCTTCCCTTCCTCCTCTTTCTACATAATACAATGTCTTAAAAAAAAATTATGTTTCATTTTAACAACATTATAAGTGTTTATTATGGATGAAAAACAGATATTCTGTTTCTTTGTACCCCACACCAATGTTTCAGTCCACTTATACAATGTAATCTAAGTCCTGTTACATCGTTTTTCCTCCATAAACTATTTCTGTATATGGCCTTACAAACAATGAACAAGAAATCAAATTATTATAGTGGACAGTAACGAGTCCTGTTTCTTATTTTTTCCTCCCCAGGCAAGTCGTGGAAGGCCCTGACCCCTCTTCAGAAGCGCCCGTACGTAGAGGAGGCCGAGAGGCTGCGGGTGCAACACATGCAGGACTACCCCAACTACAAGTACCGCCCTCGCCGCAAGAAGCAACTGAAGCGCATCTGTAAGCGCGTGGACCCCGGGTTCCTATTGAGCAGCCTGGGGGGGCCTGACCAGAATGCCCTGACTGACCCCCGGGGGAAAGAAGGGGAAGGAGGTAGGTTGTCCTCATACTCTTCCCCCAGCCCGGTTAGATCCTTAAGAGATATACCGTCCAGCAGCACCTACCCCTACGACCTCCCCACCCCGCCTGAGATGTCCCCTCTGGACACGGCCCTGGACCACGACTACCCCTCCTACTACCCCACCTCCTCTTCCTCCTCTTCCTCCGTCTCCTGCTCCGAGGAGCATCACCAGCACCAGCGTCAGGGTCAGAACCCCGGAGGTGGAGGTCACATGGGCCTGAGTCCTCCACCCTACCACCCTGACTACACCCAGACCCAGACTTCCATCCACTGTGGTGGCTCCCACTCCCACCTGGCCCACCTCTCCCACGTGTCCCAGGCCCAGTCCGGAGGCCTCATCCCTGGGCATCCTCTGTCCTACTACAGCCCATCCTCATGGCCCTCCCAGCTCCAGGTCCACCCGGGCCTCCAGCCCCACCATCACCCCCACTTGGGGCACCTCTCCCCGGGTCACCACAACCAGCACCACCTGGGTCAGCTCTCCCCTCCTCCAGAACGGAACCATGGCCAGAACCACGGTCATCTGGAGACTCTGGACCAGCTGAGTCAGGTCGAGCTTCTAGGGGAGGTCGACCGTGACGAGTTCGACCAGTACCTGAACTCGACCGCAGCGGGTGCGGCGGCAGCTGGGGTGGGGGTGTTCCACTCCGAACACGGAGGAGGAGGGATGACGGTGACGGGTCACATCCAGGTGACTTCTGGGAGCAGCGTTGTCGGGGAAAGCAGCCTGATCTCTGTGCTAGCGGACGCCACGGCAGCGTACTACAACAACTATGGCATTTCTTAGACAGGTTGTGGAGTTACCTGGTCACCATGCCGACGCCAACGGCTCCCGTCATCACCATGCCGACGCCGTATGTGTCCAGCATCTCAGAGTAGGAGTGCTGGTCTGGGATCAGGTCCCTCTGTCCATGTCATCTTATTTATCGCGATCTAAAAAGGCAAAAAACTTTGAGACGCTTGATACCTATGACCCTATGGTAAGGCTGAAGATGGGGTTAGGGTGAGGTGCGACACAAGGACCAATCACATAGCAATATGATTGTTTTTTTGGGGGGGCCGAGGAAGGAGACAGGAGGGTGAAATGAGAAGGTGAAAGAGAAAGAGAGAAAGAGAGAAAGAGAGAAATAACTTTAATGGACACCTCAGGGATGTTCACATAGAACACCAGTTCATCACTTTTATCTGTCTATCTCCAAAACAGAACACCAACCGGACGGTTGGAGCAGTCGTTGTCCAGTTATAAAAATGTCTTAAACGTGTTGCCCAGTAAAGCGTGTTGTACAGATGCTCTTATCGCTTATTGATGCACTTTTGATGTTTCACCTAAATGCTTTATTGTAATGCTATTATAATGAATTATTTCTGTTTGAATGTTTGTATTATTTGTTACCCAACATTAGTTGGCGTTTTTACCTCAGTAGTTTGTATTTAAATGAGGATTAGATGTGCATTTCTTATGCAATTCTCCCAGACAACATGGTTTGCATCTCAAATGGTACTTTATTCCCTATATAGTGCATTACTTTTCACCAGGAACCACAGGGTTGACCATTTTGAGACGCAGCCATGGTGAAGAAAAATACTTTATATACTTCTTCTTTTCAAGTACTTAATATATCATCGTAATCTTTACAATGAAAATAATAATGACTGTATGCTGATTTAGGTTTGTGAATTAATTTTAAATAAAGTTCCACTTTTATATTGCCGTATTTGCAACTTGGATATGCCTACACACAGACACAGACTGAGCAGGGGTAGGCCACTAGAATCAGCCGCAGGACAATTTTTGTCAGAGCGAATGGAGGTTAAGGGGGATGGGGGGGGGGGGGATATACTATAAATTGAACACAACTAAACCCAAAAAGATTGTATATGAAAATAACAATAATTTCATATCGATTACATATGTCTGTTTTGTTATTTGTTGGAATATGGGGAACATATTTCTGAAATTAAACTCATATTTATCTAAATTCCTGGTGAATTTACATTATTTGTTGACGGAAATCTAAGCGAGACACAGTGTTCTGGCAGGTCTGATTTATTTGTTGATGGAAATCTAAGCGAGACACAGTGTTCTGACAGGTCTGATTTATTTGTTGACGGAAATCTAAGCGAGACACAGTGTTCTGGCAGGTCTGATTTTAATACAAGAGTGTCTGACTGTTGCTGACCCCTGCACTAATCAAATCAAATCAAATGGTATTTGTCACATGCTCCGAATACAACAGGTGTAGACCTTACCGTGAAATGCTTACTGACAAGCCCTTAACCAACAGGTGTAGACCTTACAGTGAAATGCTGACTTACAAGCCCTTAACCAACAGGTGTAGACCTTACAGTGAAATGCTTCCTTACAAGCCCTTAACCAACAGGTGTAGACCTTACAGTGAAATGCTGACTGACAAGCCCTTAACCAACAGGTGTAGACCTTACAGTGAAATTTACATTTACATTTTACATTTACATTTTAGTCATTTAGCAGACGCTCTTATCCAGAGCGACTTACAGTTAGTGAGTGCATGAGCACTTCTCTTTCTGTTCTATTCATAGTACACACCCACACACCCACCCACACCCACACCCACCTCCTCTGGTAGGTCTTCAGCGATGCTCTCTGTGATGGGGGCTCGGGGAGGGAAGGTGCGACAGGCGTCCCCTAACCCCAACCCCTGGCCTCTGAGGTGGGGGGGTGCAGAGGGGGAACGGGGGGGAGGGGGGTACTCGCTCTCACTCAGTGTCTTCGCCATCTGCAGCACCGAACACGATTGGTCGTCCAGCCCCCCGGCCCCTCCCGCTCCCCTCCTAAAGCCCTCCCCCAGGACGAAGGCAGGACTGGGATTGGCTGTGGGGATCGTCACCTCGGCCAGGTCGGGGTACAGGGGGCGGGGTTTAGAGAAGGAGGTGTCAGCCATCTCCAGTACTCCTTTAGGGAGGGGGGGGAGGGGGGGAAGTCAGGAGGAGGACGGTTCAGTGTGCCACCCGCTCCGCCCCCAAGGGCTGCCCCTCCCCCTAACCCCACCCCCACACTCCCATCATCCTCTGGGGACCCCTCCTCACCGATGGGCCGGACAGGGTGTCCAGCCGTGTGCCTGCGGGGTTGGGAGGACCCTGAGGGGGGCTTGCCCCTGCCCCCTCCAGTTGGGAGTACCTTACCGGCCGGGGGGGAGCAGGTGGAGGGGAGGAGATCTGAGGACAGGGAGGCAGCTGATTGGTTAGGAACGCCCTCCAGGATGTAGTAGGCAGGGTTATTGTAGCTGTTGTTCTTACAGGCGGAGGGGTCTCCCTCTGCAGAGTCCTGCTTAGCCCTGGAACACACACAGCAGGAGCAGGAGAAATGCTTCCTTACAAGCCCTTAACCAACAGGTGTAGACCTTACAGTGAAATGCTGACTTACAAGCCCTTAACCAACAGGTGTAGACCTTACAGTGAAATGCTTACTTACAAGCCCTTAACCAACAGGTGTAGACCTTACAGTGAAATGCTGACTTACAAGCCCTTAACCAACAGGTGTAGACCTTACAGTGAAATGCTTCCTTACAAGCCCTTAACCAACAATGCAGTTTTAAGAAAAATAAGTGTTAAGTAAACAACAGATGAGTAGAAAATAAAAGCAGTAAAATAACAGTAAAAATTACAGTAAAAATTACAGTAAAAACAACAGTAGGGCTATATACAGGCTATATACAGCTATATACAGGCTATATACAGGCTATATACAGGCTATATACAGGGGGTCCCGGTACAGAGTCAATATACAGGCTATATACAGGGGGTACCGGTACAGATTCAATATACAGGCTATATACAGCTATATACAGGGGGTACCGATACAGATTCAATATACAGGCTATATACAGCTATATACAGGGGGTACCGGTACAGAGTCAATATACAGGCTATATACAGCTATATACAGGGGGTACCGGTACAGAGTCAATATACAGGCTATATACAGCTATATACAGGGGGGTACCGGTACAGAGTCAATATACAGGCTATATACAGCTATATACAGGGGGTACCGGTACAGATTCAATATACAGGCTATATACAGCTATATACAGGGGGGTACCGGTACAGAGTCAATATACAGGCCATATACAGCTATATACAGGGGGTACCGGTACAGAGTCAATATACAGGCTATATACAGCTATATACAGGGGGTCCCGGTACAGATTCAATATACAGGCTATATACAGGGGGTACCGGTACAGAGGCAATGTACAGGCTATATACAGCTATATACAGGGGGTCCCGGTACAGAGTCAATATACAGGTTATATACAGGGGGTACCGGTACAGAGTCAATATACAGTTTATATACAGGGGGTACCGGTACAGAGGCAATGTGGGGGGGCACCGGTTAGTCGAGGTAATTGAGGTAATACAGTGAGGGAAACATGTATTTGATCCCCTGCTGATTTTGTACGTTTTCCCACTGACAAAGACATGATCAGTCTATCATTTTAATAGTAGGTTTATTTGAACAGTGAGCGACAGAATAACAACAAAAAAATCCAGAAAAACGTGTGTCAAAATTGTTATGAATTGATTTGCATTTTAATGAGGGAAATAAGTATTTGACCCCTCTGCAAAACATGACTTAGTACTTGGTGGCAAAACCCTTGTTGGCAATCACAGAGGTCAGACGTTTCTTGTAGTTGGCCACCAGGTTTGCACACATCTCAGGAGGGATTTTGTCCCACTCCTCTTTGCAGATCTTCTCCAGGTCATTAAAGGTTTCGAGGCTGACATTTGACAACTTGAACCTTCAGCTCCCTCCAAAGATTTTCTATGGGATTAAGGTCTGGAGACTGGCTAGGCCACTCCAGGACCTTAATGTGCTTCTTCTTGAGCCACTCCTTTGTTGCCTTGGCCGTGTGTTTTGGGTCATTGTCATGCTGGAATACCCATCCAAGACCCATTTTCAATGCCCTGGCTGAGGGAAGGAGGTTCTCACCCAAGATTTGATGGTACATGGTGGCGTCCATCGTCCCTTTGATGCGGTGAAGTTGTCCTGTCCCCTTAGCAGAAAAACACCCCCAAAGCATAATGTTTCCACCTCCATGTTTGACGGTGGGGATGGTGTTCTTGGGGTCATAGGCAGCATTCCTCCTCCTCCAAACACGGTGAGTTGAGTTGATGCCAAAGAGCTCGATTTTGGTCTCATCTGACCACAACACTTTCAACCACTTCTCCTCTGAATCATTCAGATGTTCATTGGCAAACTTCAGACAGGCCTGTATATGTGCTTTCTTGAGCAGGGGGACCTTGTGGGCACTGCAGGATTTCAGTCCTTCACGGCGTAGTGTGTTAACAATTGTTTTCTTGGTGACTATGGTCCCAGCTGCCTTGAGATCATTGACAAGATCCTCCCGTGTAGTTCTGGGCTGATTCCTCACCGTTCTCATGATCATTGTAACTCCACGAGGTGAGATCTTGCATGGAGCCCCAGGCCGAGGGAGATTGACAGTTCTTTTGTGTTTCTTCCATTTGCGAATAATCGCACCAACTGTTGTCACCTTCTCACCAAGCTGCTTTGCGATGGTCTTGTAGCCCATTCCAGCCTTGTGTAGGTCTACAATCTTGTCCCTGACATCCTTGGAGAGCTCTTTGGTCTTGGCCATGGTGGAGAGTTTGGAATCTGATTGATTGATTGCTTCTGTGGACAGGTGTCTTTTATACAGGTAACAAACTGAGATTAGGAGCACTCCCTTTAAGAGTGTGCTCCTAATCTCAGCTCATTACCTGTATAAAAGACACCATGGAGCCAGA